AAAATCACAAAGATTATTATGAACACGATTAGAAAGATGAAACAGTTATCACTTTGTAATAAAAAAACAATAAAACCATTTAATTTCGTATGCATCGAGTATTTCCCTAAAAAATAACATTATTTAATTTAACACACGGAGCATGACCTTAAAAAATTATTGTCGAAGAAACTCATTTTCTCTGTTAAAAATACAAGGATACGTGTGAACGTTGTACCCTCCCCCTAATTATCTCGTCTATAAAGATTTATCTATAAATATTATTTAAATACTTTGATGTCGTACGTATTTTCTTAAATTTTGTATTCATTTATATATATATTTTTTATATATATTATTAAACAAACTAAATTTTTCTTATATTCAAACAAGTAAACATAAGTGATGGAACACAATTATGTTAATAGAGCTAGATATATATATATATATATATATATATATATATATATATTCAATTCTTTTTAATTTACATATTTTAAATATGAAAAAATTTAATGTAAATAAAATTTTTTAAATTATTTTTTTGTAAATTTTAATTTAATATATGTTAAATAGATAAAATCTTACAATCAATGTTTCTAAGTACATTAAACATATATTAAACTTTATTTATAGAAATAAACTTAGAAAATTGAAAGTTTAACAAAAAATTGTTTTGGTATGAAGTAATTTCTTTAATGAAATAATAATATGTTGCCATAAAGATCTTAAATTACTAATTTCTTATTTATAATTTATTTATTTCTAATTTAATAAATAATTATAATTGAAAAGATTATCATACTCATAATTTGTGATCTATAAATATATGTGATTTTCTCAAGATTAATGGTTAAGAATTAAGGAAAAATATTTGCTTATTCATGATGAAAATTCAAATTTCATTCTTGAAACGTAAAAATAAATATATAAAAATCAATGAAAATATAAAAAGTTTGTATGTTTCTAAAATGATGTTATCATATATCTTAATTACATCTACTGAAATTAAATTCATGTACTTTTACATTTTAGATCAATTTCTTTTCTCTTTTTATATACTTTGCTGAATTATTACATGTCCGATGAAAGAATTAATTTTTATTGTATACATGAATATATTGAGTTGTTTCTAAAATTATTTCACGGAAATTTTTTCTTACGGAAATTCAGTCAGAATCATAGAAATCTAGCCAGGATCATCAATCTGCTTTGTTGATATAAATAATATTTTCCTTATCATGATGTCAATATCAATTACCGTACAGTAATAAAGTTTTATTAAAATTATTGTTTGTGTGCTATATTATAATTAATTTTATTATATTTTTACGATATAATTTTTTAAAAACTTTTACATTCAAATATTTTATTTTACATCACTGAAACAAAAATATTAATTTGGAGCATCAGGAAGAATATAGAGAAAAAAGTGCGACTCATTGTTTATTTGACATGCAACTTGCTTATCTATCTTTGTATAATTTAATTCTTGCCCCTTTATTGATATCATTCATAGACATATTAAATAATTTCACTTATCTTCATATACTCATAATAGTAATACTAAGATATTTACAAAATACTTACTACTAAATCATCGAACATTAAGAAATTTCTTACTGCAGACAGATCTCTTTGTATTATTTATATTTGATACTTATTTAGTTTTTATGAAAATCTACTCTATAATAAATATTATTTTATATATGGAAAATTCTTATTATTCAAAAGTATTTTTCTCTTGTAATATATCTTGAAAAATATAAAAATAATTTTAATATTAGCTTTTAAATTCTAATTGTTAAATTTTACTTTATTATTCGAAAATACATCAGATTATAATAATGTTAGGAAGTAGCAAAAATGTTTGAGTTAACATTGAAATCGTATATAAATAAATTAAAATTAAACTATAAATCTTCAAAAAAAATAGTTAGATTTTAAAGTCAGATACAATAAATCTATCATAAACCCTATTTCTAATATTTCATTAATGAGACAAAGTAACTTATGTATTAGCTATAATGAACTGCAGATATTGTTTACCATGAACAAAGTATTTCAAATCCAAACAATTTCCCAACTTTTACAATTTGTTTAATGTATAGCTGCAAATACATAATAAAGAAAATCATTTCTACGCAGATTAATGAAAACAGAGTTATTTAATTTGATTTGAAATACTAGTTAAATGCTTATAGTTTTAGTTTATAAATCATGGAAACAAATTAATTATAGTTTTTAATTACACAATGCTATGTTTTTAGAAACAATAATGTTTTTTTTTTATACTTCATAAAAAAAAATTATATTGGATTTATTCAAATTTGGAATAAATGAATTCCTGAACAAATGTTTAAATTGCAAGAACCAGTTAAAGATCTATCATAAAAAATCTTTAATTATTTTTAATATTATTTATATTTTTTATCAAATTATACAAAAATATAATATATATATATACAATTTTTTTTAAACGATAAATGCGTTATTTTATAATTTGAATAAAAAATTTATTATTAATTCATAATTCTGAAAAGATTTTTAATAATGAAATTTTAAATAAATTAGGGTTAAAAATTTACAATAAATAATTTTCATATTCCATTAATAGAAAGAAAAGTCAATCAATTGATTGCCAAGATATCCCTAGGTATAAAAAATAATACATATGAAGTATCTGATTCTATTTTAGTTCAAATAATAAAATTAAACAAATACTTTTATAATTAATATATATTTTCATCATTATTATACAGTATATGCAAATCATAAAATTAACATATACTTAAAAAAATTTATAATTAAAATAATATCGACTTTCAAACAATTTTTTTATATATTATATACCAATTTAATTATAAATCATTAAATTATAATTATACAATGATTTCAGTATCTTTAAAATAATTTAATCAAAGTTTATTCAAATTGGGTGCTTTGTCACCGTTACACTAGTTACTGTTTTATTATACATTTTACACAATTAACATTTTATTTGAATAAATATTTTTATTTGTTAAGAAATAATAATTATAACACATAAATTGTGAAGTTAAATTTTTTTTATGTATTAAAATATGTACTTCAATGTAAAACTAATTAGTATTTATTTTTAATTAACATTAAATTTAAATAATATTACAAAAATAATTAATAAATAAATGATATATACAAACCTATTTAGAACTATCAAAGTGAAAATATTAAATCAACTATTATGACTACGAAGTGGCATCAGAAGTTTGGAATAAATTATTAATTACAATGACAAAAGTCACTAACGAAAAATCAGCTTATTTATTTTTATAGATTACAATTTTTTGCTATAAATATCAGAAAAATAATATATTTATTCATTATATAAAATTAATTAATATGTTGAAATATATAGTTTATATTAAATATAAATAGAAATATATTACAATTTTTTGCTTTATTCATATGTACATTCATAAATATATTAGCTGATTAAATCATTTAGTTTCAATATCTTATTAGATATATACATATACATATATATACATATACATATATATATATATATATATGTATTATTAAAACATATATTTTTAAAAAACATACATTAATATAATTTTTCGTACCCAATATAGAAAAAATTGAAATCCCCGTAAAATTATACGTTTAAAATAAATCAATATATCTTCTAGAACTCATTATATTATAAACTCAGAGATATTTAATGTTCTCACATATTAAAAAATATATCTATAACTAAAAGAATTATTTTTTATCGATTTAGAATTAAATAATTAAACTAACATAAAGAAAATAATTTATGTATTTCACAAAATTAATATTACAAATTTCTAAAATTATGGCACTAAAATAATTTGTTAATAAAAATATTTTTTCATTTTATTATCGTCGTACAATTTTAAATTATGATCAAACTTCTAAATTTATTATTAAATCTTATATTATATTAATAATATTAATAAAGTATTGAATATTGAAATTTTATTATAATTTTTTAGAAATATATTACAAATATTTAATATTATTAACATATTCACTAAATGGAAAATCATTGTTTTATCTTTGTGTATATATTGTGGCTAATTTATTAATATAATTTTATTTTCTATAAAAATTAAATATTTTAAAGAAATAGAAATATTAATAGTAATTTACAAAATTTTAAAATACTTATGAAAGATTTAGTTTAACCGTATTTACGAATTTTTTTATTAAACTTTCATGAACTTGAATAACGTGATTAAAAATGTGTAAAAATTTTATTATAATATACACATACACATATATATACATATATATATATTAGTGTGTGTGAGTGTGTGTGTGCGCGCGCGTGTATGTGTGTGTGTTATAAGTGTTCCTTGGATAAAATTGAGCTTTTTAATATTTAAATACATGTTAATCTATTATTTAGTTGAGAAAACTTACACACATAAACTTAGTAGCTTGACAACTTAGTAAGTAATTATAAAATCGAATGACTATTCATATATATATATTCTGCAAAAAAGAGATATCTTTTATATTGTAACTATATTTAATCAGGCTTAAACAATTGAAAATAAATTTTTAAATATATGGAGTTAAAATAATTTTAATAGTTACGAAATTTATAATTTATGTAATATAATATTTTTAACCGCAATTTTATATATTTTATCAAATACATATATTATAAAAATAATTAAAAATTGCATATATTTATTAATGGCATTTGATTATGTAATAATTTAAAATATTGTTTCAAATTTTCTGTATAATCATTCATTATATTCAAAAACGTATTTTTATGTATTCATTATACGAAAATAATTATTTCTAACCCATTTTAATACAGTATACTTCTATAATAGTGCGAATTACGAGGTAATCCTTGACAAGGTCATTGAATAATACGCATAAATCGACAAATGAAATATCTATTGAATTCCAGTAATCTAAATGAATAGAACATTGAACCATTAGAGTATGAGGTTATGCTGCTTCATGTTCATATCAAATTAGGGAAAAGAACTCACATTGTCAGCCGACCTTCAAAATACTGCTGCAGCTGCACGCAGTGGTCTCACGTTTAAAGATCCGAGCACCAGTAGTAAGAATCACAGTACTTGCCGGCCTCGGGATACAATGAAAACGTATAAAAAACACTCTAACTCTTCGCATCCGCATACACACGCACACCAAAAAGCACAGATAGTAAGCAGGAGTAGTATGATGCCGATGGAGGGGCGAGAGGGTTTAGAGATCACTATTACTATGAAGTCAATGGAGAGGGGAAAGTCTGTTCCTCATGCAGAAGAGAACGTCAGTGCATCGGTAGCGCGTAGATTTCGAAAAGTTGGCGTCGGACCTATTTTACAGCATCTGCAGCTGGACTTATTCTGTTTCTAATTATTCCTTTTTATGTTTTTTTTTTATTTTCTATTAGTATATATTTGCCAGCAGTAGTGCAGGATGTCAAGGGGGAGGGGGTCAGATCTCGGCGCGAGCGCGAGGCGATTATGCCGGCTTCGTGGCCGGGCAGCCACTGAGCCAAGTAGAAACAGCCGGTATGCCACGAGCCCTCCTCTCTAGGAGCAGGGAAATAAAGATAGAGAGAGAGAGAGAGAGAGAGAGAGAGAGAGCGAGAGAGAGCGAGAGAATGGAAGAGTGAAGGGAGGAGTGCGCGGTTCTAGTCGCGAGACGACCCGACGAGCAATCGATAAATGAGGAGGGTGGTAAGTGGGGGCTTACGTGTGCAAGAACATGTTGCCGGGATGCCGATCGAGTAGAGGGGGAGGACGAGCAAACGGGGATGAAGGAGGACATAGGAACTAGATATTCGGTGGGGCTCCAAACCCACTGATAAAGGCTGAAAGGTGAAGAGTCAACATCTTACGAAAATTATACCTAGATGTAACGATGGTTTTTCTATTTTTAACTGTTGGAAAGTTTGTTATTAAATTAATATAGCTAATATATTGTACACAACAAAGTTTTTACTCAGACAGTTAGCCTAATATTTAGATATGAGGATAATTTGTAGTTTTTGTGCATATAATTAAAAAATATTTCAAATAAAAATATAATCTATAGTAATTATTAAATTATCGTTAAACCATAAATATATCTTACAATGACATATTCTTCATTTATTAACTTACAGTTAATCAATTAATCAAATAAATCTTTAACATTTTTAGTCAAAAAGATTACTTTTAATTTTATCTAATATCAGTTGATTGTTGATAAATAAATAAAACCTGCGTGACAAATTAAACAAGTATGCTTAACTTTAAAGGTCTTAAGAAATTTCAGATAATTTAAAAATGAATTATATTTTCAAATTGTTGATTTTCTTGAGCCCTTTTTTATTTTATTACTTAGATGAATTTTTTAATTTTAAATATAAATTATAAATTTGTATAGTTTTCTGTTAATATAAATATTTTTTAAATACAAATGAAAGCAAACAAACTAACCCGCAAGCATATATATATATATATATTATATTTTCATTTATTATTATATAATATCAGGAATTCACTTCTATCATATTTTACTTTCTCGAATATCTTTGTTTAATATTGTTTTATAAAATTTTCTTTTGGTAGAAAATTAAATGTAATACCTTTTAGCATTGTACAATAGTATTTATAATAAATTTTTTAATTACTTTTCTTTAATGTTTAATTTATATTTAATAAAATATCTAAAAAAATGTATTATAATACTTTCTTATAAAATAGTATTTATTAATATTATTTTCTATTTTTATTTATGTTCGTCAAATGAAAAATAATTATTTTTTGTTCGATATAAATTTAATATTTAACTACATAAAATAATTTTTTTATTTTTTAACGTTTTGAAATACAAATATTTATTACTTATATAACTTTCTTATGAATTCTTATGAATTACTCGAAAAATATATATGTCTAGATCATAATTGCAAGATTGAAAATATTGTGATAAATGTATTTCAAATAAAATGCAGCCATGAAACTTAGCAAATCAAGGGAACTAAAATATTCCAATATGTATCGTGTGAATTCTCATGTCATTTAATAGATAGGTCATTAATATCGATAGATTATTTCCGTTTCTATTTAAACTTTACTTTGTTATATTTTATTTTTATTATCTATGAGAAATTCTTGTAGAAAATAATTATCGGATTTAATCTCAAATATTCTGAAGTTTGTCACAAATGTATAAAAAACCATATTGTAACATAATTAGATAAATCATAACTTAGCCATAATGATCTAGAAGTTATTTTATTATATCGGAAACATTTTTAATATAAATAATCAGAATTTTTTAGGAGTCAGCTGATGTACTAAGTGAATGGAATAATAAATCTCAATAGAGAATTCTCAAATAGAGAACTAGTAAGAAACTATCATTATCGATCAGTTTCGGCCTCAAAAATACCATATTCTAATAGCCTTATTTTTTAATGTTTTCTCCTCGGATGTGTTTATAACGCTACTTGTCGATTTATTTAAATTGTTCTTCTATACTTACATTATCAATATTCACATTTGCGTCTTTCTTTTATCAGGAGGTCACATTACTCACGATTGAGTCCGTTGGATGATTTGAAAAAGAATAAAATGGACACAACGAAAAAAAGATTTATCATATCTAAAAACTGCGAAAACCACGATGACTATTTTTAAAATTAAAGTTTTTAATTTATCAATTAAACAAATGTTTCTGAACAAAAAATTTACTTCACCTAGGTTTCTAATAAAAGGTATTAATAAATGTTATGTAAATTACCTAAACAAAATCAGCTAAATTTTTTAAAAATTACAATAAAATTACAATACTTAAAAATATATTTTATATATATTTTATTAATGTTTCTACAAAAAATAATGCAATCAAAACTACCTTAATATTATTTTACATAATAGTATCACCAGTTTATCTATAAATTAGGTTATTTAATGTGAAAACGATAATATAATAATAAATTAGAAATTAAATCTTTTGTTTTTATATTTGTGCAAAGTAGTCAATAAATATCCTAATCATAAACAGATATTGGACTATATTTTTTTGAGTCTTACAAATTTATGAAATAATAAGAACCAAAATTCATAGAAGACTGAAATCATTTACATACTCCGCCCAATGTTATTGTAATGTTAAATTATTAACTTTTACTTAAATCTCACTATCATGTATTACTAAACTATACTAGCTATGTATTACGAAAATTTGGTAATATCAAATGATTAATATACCATCATACATCCCATATCATAGATTACTTTCGTTAAAAGAAAATTAATAGTTTTTAATTTTTAATAGTTTATTATTTTTTTAACTTCAAATAGGAACTACATATTAAACTTCTTTTGATCAGTTTATTTCAGTTAGATTATTTGATGAGTTAGATTTCAAAATGTTAATAATTAATACTGAAATAACTTTAATATTAGTTACAGAAAATATTTATTTATGTCATAATACTACTTGTTAAGTATAAAATTACAAAATTTTCAATTATTATATTTTTTCAATCGTTAGCGATTTATAAAATTATTAAAGATATTTTAAATAATTCGTAATTTTAACAAAGATTAATTCGATAATATCTTTAACTCATAGATAAATATATATAAATATTAATATATTCATAAGAAAGAAATACTATTGTAAAAATATTACATATTTCTTTAATATAGAAAATTAAAATGTTATCACATATAATATAGATAAAATTATAAGTTTTTGAGTTTAAAAAGATCGGTATTTTAGTGTAAATTTTTATATTTATATTAAATTATATATTTATAAATATAAATATGTTTAATAATTCACATGATAAAAAATCATAATATGTTCTTTAAGTATTGGACCATTGCTTACATGCATACTGATAGATTATAAATTTAGTTATATATCATACGTATAAATTCAGATTTAAATATCAATATATAGAAAATTAACAGATTATACATCGTGATGAGATTAATAATAATTAACTGGTGAATTTACATCAAAATATTCTTCTGATATAATTAAGGTCTTTATTAAAAATATTATTTTCTGAGCTATTATAACATAGAATAAACTTTACTTCATTCGAAAGAAAATATAAATAACAGCATTAATAATTACAGTAAATACAATAATGACAATATATTCAACATTAATTTTTCATATAAATTTTTGATACTTTCTGTAAAACATAAAATTGCAATAAGAGTATTTAAATGAATTAAAAATGTAGGTATTTTAAAACTAGGTTACATTTTTATAATTCTTTAAATTTATTTGTGTATTTAAAAATCTGTAAATCGAAATTTAAGATGATTATAATTAATATTTTGAAATAATTTTTTTCTTCACACACACACACACTCACGCACACTCACACACACGCGCGCACACGCACACACACATTCACACACACATACATATACACATATGTGCTTCCTATCATAATTACTCCTAATATTATGTATAATATTAAAAAATTATATGAAATCAACCAAATAAAAGATTATGTCAATAATAATAATTCAAAGTATGTATCTTACCACAAATATTGATTAATGTAGTATTTGTCTGGGACTGAAATTTCTCGAACGTTTTCAATATCTACCCATACCCTGGAAAACCTGGAAGATTACAATCACGATATGTAAAGAGACCCGTGAGACTCATTTGCTGCTCGCTCTCAGAACAGCTCCAAGATAACATGAAATGAGACCCTAGTTACGTTAACCCTGTTAAGACCTCGACTTGTCTTACACATTTTACACGAATAGTCAAAAATTACATATTCGATACTGTGAATAGTCGTTCTAGCATCAAAATACAATGTATAATAGGAAAATATTAGAATTCCTTATTTAATTGAAGTCTTCGTTACTTCATTCTACTAAATTCTACAACTTGTAATACTTATTATATTAAATTTTTTTATTATTAATAACATGAATGTAAGTTCTTAATTAAAGAAAGATATAAATACTAAAGTTAAAAAACATGAGATTTTTGTGTATATTTTCAAACAATATTTAATGATTTTTTACGTTAATAATTTATACTTCATATTGATGTTAAAACAATTGATAGAAACAAATATAATAAATATTTTATGATAATTAAATATTGATTTTATCTCAATAAAAGAATAATAGTATTAACAACTGATTTGCATTTGATATATAAACATTATAGAAGGTTGCGACTAGACAATAGCTAAGTTCAATTTATAATAGATGTAGCACGTAGTGGTTCTATTTAGAAATGTTCAGTAGCATGTACATGTTATGCTAAAAGACTCTAGTCATCCACAATAAAAGTTTATATATATATATATATATATATATATATATATAGTTTTCAATTGAATTATTAAACTAGTATTTGATACATTTTCTATTTTATTATTGTTTCATTTTTAATAGCTGTTCAATTATACTTACTCTAGTCTAT